CTCCTGTTCTAGCTTTTAAGACAATATCTTGTTGTTAAGTGAACGGCTTCTGGTCAAATTAACTGTTGGTTGTGAGAAGATAACATCAAACCCAGGACACCATGAGAGGGACATCGCAAGCTGTGTTCGTGAACCATCGACATCCAGTAGGAGCCGTTTGACGACATCTCAGGAATGAACTGTGTGTTCTCATTGAAACTCTCCTTTACTGAAACTGTTGTGGAATGTGAAAATACTCCCCACTCCCGTTAGTAGATTGTGTATCAGGGACATCCTTCCAATAAATGCAAGGAGACAAACGCGCACTCTTCAGAGTTGCCCCGGAACCTGTAACGGTTTACATTGCAGAGCCAGCTGGAGAGCTGCTTTGAGATTGTGAACCGAGACATGTTTTAGCGCGCTCTCTCTTGCAAGAAAGACAACCATGCTTGCATCCTGAGTCTTCCTGTTCCTGATGTGTTCTTAGCATCTGATTACCAGCATTAACCTAACACATTGACCAACTGGGCTGGGTTCAGAGAGGGGGGTCCCACTTCCCCGAAGGCGTCTCCCTGCAGCATTTTCATCTTGTTAAATGGACTTTGATATTCTTCTAACTTTGTGTACCAATATTGTGTCAAACGTTGCCTACTCAGCATCCATTGCAGCCCCGTCACCCTGTAAGGGGGATTCTCCCATCTGCGGCCCCTTCTCAAGGTTTCTCATTTTTCCCCAGATGGGGTTTTTGGAGTTTTTTCTTGCTCTCCTGGGGGTTAAAGTCAAGGGATGTCGTGAATATTTGTCAACTGTTTGTGATTTAGGGCCATATAAATAAATGTGTCTTGACTTGAATTTCAACTTCACATTATGGCTTATTCTTTCCCTTTTCTTTTGAGAAGAAGTCAGCCAAAACACAATGCTTAAAAGGTTCAGAATGTTAATCATACAGTTAAACTTGTGACGTTAAACACAATCCGTTCTGTGGTGCCGGTGGCCAAATGGTTCAATAATGACGTAAAGTGAAAGAATTTGTTTAATTTGATGTTTGATTCATTGTAATACTCACAAGTACCCCTTGTGGCGGCAACACGTAAAAGCTAGAGTAACAGAAAAAAAAATGCCTGTGGATTTTATCCGTTAGATGCACACTGAGCTGAACTCTGTGAGTTGTGCTGACATCTTGCATTACATCATTCATGATCAGCAATCAGCAAAAGATTTGTGTGACTTTTCAGAGTTCGGATGTTCCATGGTATACCGTCTATACGTATATTTTATTTTGTATGTATTTGTTTGAATAGTTTTTTTCAAAGAATCTTTGAAAATGCTGCAAATGTAAATGATGAAATTGCAGGCTAACTGTGTTACCTATTGGGGCCTTATTAGCATTTTCATGTGAGCATATTTTGTCGTACTGTATATATTTTTATCATGTGCTACGTTCATAAAGACTGCTTGAACACATATTACAAGTGGAATACAACTAAACTGAACATAACACAACTGAATATGAACTGAATATAAGTGTACGTTATTGGATTTAAAAAGGTTCAAGCAACATAATAATATGTTGAGTTTGAACAATGAATTTTGTGATTCTCGCATACCACTGGTTCAAGCAACAACATGGTAAAAAGCCATTTGAAAATACAGTGGTCACTTGATCATGAAATGATATTTATGTATTGGCATGAAGAAATGATAGGGCGTTCTGAAACAAACAAAATGTGTTTTTCACAGTGTGTAACACGTCGACCATCTCTCTCATCAGTGGCCAACCATCAAGATGATGCAGACGATTTTCTGTCATAAACTTTGGTGGGCTCAACTACTCGATTTGAAGACAAAAAGTGTTCAGTGAACAGAGTGATGATCACACAAATTAAAATGAAGAGACACAAGCTTTTCATTGGTGATCCGAAACGTCCCCAATTACATTTTCATGACGGTGCATGACTCATATTGCACACTACAGGCAACTCCAACAATGGAGATGCGAAACATCTGATGGTGGGTATTGCACTTGGATAATGTGTGTGCATGTGTGTGCACGTGTGCGTGACTTCAGCGTATGCAGTAAGCAGGATATCCTGTCCTCCCTGCCGCTATTGTGGTTTGGCCAGACGCAACCCCCAAAACCATTTCCCCTCAGTTAAATGTCCCTCTTTCTTTGTCTCACACACACACACACACACACACACACACACACACACACACACACACACACACACACACACACACACACACACACACACGTACCCTTGCACACGTATAGTGACAGACACACGCACAATCTCATGCCAGCCTTAACACAATGGGAACCTGTCCAACACCACCCTATCAGCTTGCTAAAAATAACTTTTTCGGTCAGTAATGCCATGAACATTGAGGAACAATGAGATTTCAGAACTTTGACCAGGCACATCAGAACAATAAAGCACCATTAGTGAAAATGACATCATCGGGCTTCTTTAATATACAGTAGTTACAGCATTTTTCAAAAGGTACACACAGAGTAAATATGGTAACAAATACTGTATGTTATTGTTATATGGAAAGTTTTTAATTAGGGAAACATGCATTTGCACAATATGCATGATATGTCAAGTTGGGAAGTTATGCAAAAAAAAACATTTTCCCTTTGCAGCTCCTGCTTGTATGGGTAATCACTCGTTCATACAATAAGGAAAAATTAATTTTACTGTATATGATTACTGCCATGTATGAATTATATAATTTAAGTATTCTTCTTTTTTGCTAATTATTACAATGACCTATTATTGCAGATGTGTCATTTTAGTATACCTGCATGGTCATGTGACCATTAAAGTCTTGTCAAATCGCTAATTTTGTAATGCGTTACAACTCTCAACCCTGCCAGCAAAACACAAATAGGCTGACGTTTTGCTAACATGACATGAGTGAAGCGATTGGAGGCAGCGTAATCAATTGCCAATACGATGGCACAATAATATTTTACGGCAGCAAAATGGTGGAAATGTTTTTCATTTTAAATGGTGACAGTGACTAAAAAGACTGATCGCATTCTTGTCTCTCATTAGTTAGTTTTGCTGTCCGGTAGCTTGCTTACCATACTTAGACTATGTCTGTTCCTGGTGTTCCAGAAATGGTTTCAAGACATAAACAAAATAAATATGGTCAAGCAATTTACAATTTTAGTCCATTTTTTTCATCCGTTTTTGTCGAGAAATTGTGAAGAATGATCAGAGCTTTACAATGCTTTGTAATGGTGTTTTTTTTATACCAATATTCAAGTCTAACTTTAATTCCATTTAGAGCAATTTAACATGGCCCAAAAGTGCGACTGTGGTTTTCTCACTTAAGGCCTACAAGCTTGAGGTGTGCAGTTAGACATACACTTCATACAAAACTGCTTGTTGTTTGGTAGCCTTTTATTTTCATTGGCTTTTCATGCATGCGCAGATAAAATCTGCAAATCAGGTGCGCCGGGGGCATGTAAGAGAAAACGCCCTTGGTCTGCCTGAACGTTGAGCAAGGAGTAGTGCGGTCTGCCAAATTCCCAAACACAGTCAGCTAGATGTGCTTGTTTTTACGCCGAGTGCATGTGCGCTTATCTATGGAAATTGTACCCTTGGTGTCCTTAATTTCCAAACCCTTTTTGAGTGATATGTCAAGACTATCAAGGTATTGAAGAAAAAGAACTGTCGGAAAGCTTGGTCTCAGTCACAGGTCATGGGTCTTTCACCATTGGAGGAGTTTGGCCAAAATACCTGCTGAGAGGTGTAGAAGTTTCACTAAAGTTTTAAAAAATTGTTTCATTGCAGTAATTATCACAGAAGATTATGCCAAAAAATATTAAGTTAAGAGTACCATAATTTTTATCCAGAACTACGTGCTGTGGTTGTTTCAAAAGTAATATTTGTTTTTTATTGGTTCATTTTTTTTACATATTATTATTATTATTATTATTATTATTATTATTATTATTATTTCAATTATCACAATTATTGATTGATTTGTTTATTTCTGTGACAAATGGTCACCAACAATGTTGTCCAAGTTGGTTGTCCAAGGTTGAAAAGGATTTGCAGATTGTATCATTTTACACAACATCCCAACTTCAGTGGGATTGGGTTTGTACATTCCATACAGTACATACAGGTCCGGCCCTAGCTAATGTGATGCTCTCTCTCTGTGCAATGTTTCCTCTAAGCCAGGGAAAGGGAACTCCGGTTCTTCGAGAGCCATGTCCTGCCTATTTTGGATCCCTCCCTGCTCCAGCACACCTTATTCAAATGATCAGCTCATCAGCAAGCTCTGTCGAGGCCTGAAACGATTATGAACAATTAAATCAGGTGTTTTGAAGTAGGGAAGGATCAATAATAGGCAGGACATGGCTCTTGAGGAACCGGAGTTCCCTGCTCCTGCTCTAAGCTGTGCGCATGTGCAATCATGCACTCTTCTCGACCCTTATGCGACATGGCTAATGCAAAAAGTGCATTTAAGAAAAGAAAAAAAAAACATCTCACCCAAGCTGTATTGGTATTTTGCATTTTCATATTCAGCTCATGCAAAGAAATTGAAAAGTTGATTTGACGCATGTGGTTGGTGGAGTGAAATGCTCACTGGTGTCATTTTGTCATTGTCACACAGACCTTGCTCGAAGACACCCACTTAGTTAATTTGATCTAGCTTCGTGTCCCATGGATTGATGGATGGATATAGTTTTGTAGTTTGTCAGTGTACAACGGGATATGGTTTCAAGAAAGTGAATATGAAGCTGATTGATATGTGACTACTTGAATCCGCGGGGGCCGAACCGCGAGTATACGGGGGTCCACCGTACCTGATAAATCTACTCAAGTCCAGCAACGCAGTATGTTATACTGTACTTTGTTGCTCGAACATCGCCGCCAGTCGTGGGCAATAAAAGTGTTTGTGCACACTTAAGCAGCATAGCAAGCTTGGCCACTGACCCCCCCTATCCTTCCTCCTCCTTTTCCCCCCTGCGGCCTGACCGAGGTGCCATTGTCTGGTTTCCTGTGGCCGTGGAAGCTTGGCTCCGCTCGCTGGCACGCTCACACGCGCACGCGCACTGGGGGCGAGCAAGAGAGGCAATCCCCGCAGACGCCACAAGCAGAAAACACACGCGGCTGAAAAGATTCCTGGAAAAGAAGCTCGCTTAGGTGTCAAACAAAAGAAAACGAGAATCGCACCTTACACGGAAGTCAAGTGTCAGACACTCGGCCAGATGCAGTGAGAAAGAAGTGCGAAGTATGGAGTTTATCTTGTGACAGCTGCTTTACATTACGCAGCTACCAAAGAGGAGAGCTGTCACCATCCCTTCATTACAGTGAGTCTGCTCTCGATTGTGTTTGTACTTGTTCGAATACAGCACGAGAGGGTGGTTGATGTTAACACGCCAGAGTTCCACTATTGCGTGTCACATGATGATCGATTCACTTCAAATTCTTTCAAAAATAATTAGTCAAGAACAGATGCCGAAACAATTGACTTCAGTGCATTCTTTGAACTTTGTCACTTCCCTGCATTGAAAAAATATATAATATACAGACATACGATATGAAGGCTGGGTTCATAAACTATTGCATATAGTCTTTTTTTGAAGATGTATTGCAATAAAGACAAACGTTCATATAAAGTATGCCAATGCTGTCGGAATTGTAGATAGAACTCACAACATCGTAAAAAACCTAATGTGAAACTTCTTCATCATTCTCTTGGCTTTTAGTTTATTTTCCCAAAAATTGTAATTCCCTCGGAAACGACAAGCTGAAATCCATGGACATAAAAGTGAGTGTGAATGGTTGGTTGCCCAGCGATTGACTGGCTACCAATCCAGGGTGTACTCAGCTGCTTGCACAAAGTCAGTTGGGATAACCTCCAGCTCACCTGCGACCCTAATGAGGATGACAAGTACAGCAAATGCATGGAATAGACTGCTGGTTATTACATCACAGTGTATCATAACAGCCCTGGGACACGAAGTTCCACAGTACTCTTAGTACTGTACTGTCTAGCAAGGATGGCAATTTAAATGCTTCCAAACGATACAATACGTCTTCTTTTCAGGCATTTTTGAAAGCTGCCATTGCCTCATAAAAATGGGACAGAGAATAAGACCGGAGGAGCGAGAGAAGATAAAAAAAAATAAATAAAAAAAACTCCCTCAAATATCTAGAATATCTAATCGGAGTGGTAACTGTGATCAGAACGCAGCACAAACAGTTCTTGAAGCTATTTGGAGGTGAAGTAACTAACGCACACAGAATACGGAAAAAGAACAAACTTATTGTGGAATTTGAGCGCTGGAGCAATACACCCGAATAAATGATGTGACGATTTCCGGTATTAAGATCAGACCACGCCTGGTTGTGTTTGGATTCTTTTTTTAAGAGACCTAAAGCACACCTACATTTTCTTTTAGCGCCCCTCAAATGCTTTCTAGATCTCATTGTTATTTTGTATGTATTTGTCTTCTCATCATGAAAGGCAGACAAAAATTGATGCGCTCTCACTTGGACTGCAATTTTATACAGTATATTTAACAGGCTACTTCGTATAAAGTACACTGTAAAACACTCACACACACACACTGTGGGTACTCCAAGTCCCAGAATGTACCACAGTAACTTGTGCTTCTCAGATACTCATCCAACAGTCCTCTGATGGCACTAGTCACCGGTTAGCATTTACAGTCATACTGAATTCATTTGATGTCCGGTTAGTTTCAAGTGTCAATACGTGTTTGGTGAATTGCTGAGTTCTTATAACAACACATTAACATAACCAGCGGAAAAAGTAGTAAATAACTTAGAGTTGTGACTACTAACGGTTTTTGCAACTAAAACGTCTCGCAATGGGTCACTTATCAATTCTGTAACGTTTCGAAATTATTTTTAGACACTGCTACAGTCTAAACTTTTCTCATCATTTTACCTACAATAGAACCAAAACAAAATGGAATAGATCGGGCCTAATTGTGTCTCAACATCAAGAACCGATTTTTACGAATATCAAAAGAAAAAAAAAAATCTCCACATTTTCAGATGAGGCAATATGACGTAAATAGTCGCAGTGAAGTGGCAGCTGCAGATCATATCGATGACTGCTGAGAAGTCTTTGCTCTTCTGGAAGACATTCTTGAATTTATCACCGTGCGCCACTTTGACCCAGCCGCGTGAGTGAGGGAAGGCAACAGCTGGATGTACGAGCTGAACTCAAGCCACCGAGATCAGCAGCTCCCAGAGGCCTGTTTTTGTCACCATTGCAGTGGAAGGGGGTTTTGCTTGCAAGTGCAGCTGTCCCTGAACCTGTACATGAAACCAAACGCACATGGCAGAGGCTGTAATCTTTTGGCCAACATAAGCCACAGCATGCTGAGATGTCCATCTGTAGCTCTCTCAGGCACAGCAGCCATCGAAACCGCTGCTATCAGACTTCCCGAGTGCGTGCGTGCGTGCGTGTGTGTGTGAGGACTGGCACATGTCAGTGTTTGCCTGCTTGAGACTTTGTTATTTGGTGGAGATGGCCACAGTGAAGGCATTGTGAACATCGGCTGAGACTTTCTAAGAGGCATGTGAAAACGCCGTAAAGATGTCACTGCAGCTGGCACCGGACACTGCTAATGGACTGCGCAAGCTCACAGCATTTCCCTAATGGTGTACATTGAGTGAATCACGTCCAGACTCACACTTGAGCTTTCTCCACACATTAGACGGGCCTCTACTCTTGTCTTGTACTCTCGAATGGTTTGGACATTGGTACTTATTTTATATTTCTGGACTTGAAAATGATGTCAGCGGTGCACCAGAATCCAATGTCAACAAAAATCAATTTCTTATGATTTCATGGACATTAAGCCTTTTTCCTTTCCATCGGCACTCACGATAGAGAAAAAAAATCTTAACGTCACTTCATGTTCCACAACGACGAATAATCATCACCAACAGTCATGTGCAGATCTCTACTCAAGCCCACTTCAACTTATGAAAATATCAAAACGGTCGTCCAAATAGTTTGGATTTTATGGACTTTGGGCTTTTTCTCGAGAGGGAGCACCTCTGAGGAAGCCTTGAAGTCCTGAAAGTCTTCACATTTTCCTGAGCAAAAAATACATAAAGTGAATTTTATGTGAAAAAAAATGACCATATTGAGGCCAAAGTTCATTTAATAGATATTAAATGAACTATGGCCTATGGAAGGGCCTCCAAGTCCCTTCAGTGAAACAGTGCAGTCTACAGAATGAATCCAGTCGCATTTCTTATTTACAGTGTGTAACACATTTAGTAAGAAACCCCCAGTGCAACGTTGATGCAAAACGTGCCCTAAAAAAAAAAAGAAAATGTAAATTAAGTTTGAAATTCCCCATTCTCGGTCAAAATGGTACCATGCCAAGAGCCCGTTGAATGTGAAAGTCTCCAGATTAAAGCACCATGATGCTAGATGTTTTCTTCTCATTTGTATAACATGCAATGGTGTAAATTTGTTCAACCCAAGAAATTAACAAAGCTTGATACCGATTCATTGTTTATATTTAGGTGGGTGCTCTGGCAAGAAAATGCAATTCATAAAAAGTTAACCAGACGGGCCAAAAATCTGTTTTGGAAGTTACAGTGCTTAACAAATTTATAGTACTAGACCAAGACACAAGGTAATAATGACCTACTTTTCCATTTATGATGATCTATCTATCTATCTATCTATCTATCTATCTATCTATCTATCTATCTATCTATCTATCTATCTATCTAACCAACCCTTGTTTTTCATAGAAAATTATTATTCGGGGTTTATCCACATTTTATCAAGCTATTTTTTGAGTTTAAAAAAACATCGTCCATCCATTATCTGAACCGCTTTATCCTCGCGAGCGTCATGTGCATCCTGGAGCCTACGCCAGCCGTCTTTGGGCAGTCGACGGGGCACACCCTGAATTGGTTGCCAGCCAATGCCGTCAATCATGCGCAGATTTCCGCTGTTCGAGGGCAAGGATACTGAAGCCCCAGTTGTTCCCGATGCTGCGTCATCGGTAGGTGAATCGGGTAACAGTGTGAAGTTGTTTTCGTACCCGAGGTAGAACAGCACTGTGCAAGTGAGAGACCATTTACCATTTACCAGATTGAAATATTCATACAAGCTTATTTGTGTCATGCGCTTCCTGTGGAAAACAGCAAAGGAGTTGAGGTGATTTGTTGAATAGGCGGTGTGTCCTTTCAGAGGTATAAAGCGATGATGTTATGGAGGAACGTCTGAGATACGCCTCCTACTTTGGGTGGAAATGAGTCAACGAATCCAAGTTTAAACTGTTCATACCAAGGTTATGTGCTGAGTAACAGAGGGTAGAGGCTTGTGCGTGTGTGTGGGTGTGTGCATTTGTGTGTGTCTATGGGCGTGCTATTTTATGCAAGTGTGTATTATTTTGAAATTACAGCATCGATTTATTTTGACTGTGTGAATTCAGTTACTCCTCCCAGGTTTAAATGGCATGCAGGTTTGCAGGAAAAACTTGAATAAGATAAACAGCTGTCAATTCGAAGATGTCCAAATGGTTCTGGTTGTGGTCCTAGCGCAGCCACGAATGTTTGGATTCGGTGCCAGTTGAAGCTCAGCTTAAGCCTCACTTCGTATGTACTTTTATGGTTGTGAGTGGATTTAGATTGAGCCGAGTTTGCACATGAGTGGACGAAGTCGGAGTGTGTTGAACCTTTGTCCTCTCATAACTGCTGTTTCCCTTTCTGACTTCTGATGAAAGAGCTTAATAAGTATAGCATGCGTTACATACTCGCGCGCTCACGCACACACAGACACACACACAAACACACACACGCATGCAGCCATGTAACTACTTGGACTATCCGCAACTTTATCTTCAGGGTTTTAAATGTGTCTCTGTGCAGAGAGCTCTGATGCCTCTTGGTGTTTTGAACAATGACTGTGAGGGAACGATGACAATTTCTTTCTCTTCTCTCCACAGGAGGACCCAGCATCCTGTCCGCTCCTTTTATCCGTCCATGATGGCTTGGGGAACACTTGACTTGGGGATCTCCGGCTGACACCTCTAATCCAAACATATCGGCGCCCTTTCCCCCTTCCGACAATATTCGGCTCTGAGTCCGTTCCTCTGAGCCCGCTCCACCGTCACCATGGCGAGTTTGGCGCTCAATGAGACTGGGATGGAGGACTGCGGCATTGACGACTCCTTCAAGTACAATTTATATTCCGTGGTCTACAGTGTGGTCTTTGTCTTGGGCCTCATCACCAACTGTGCTGCGCTCTTTGTCTTCTGCTTTCGCATGAAAATGCGTAACGAGACGACAATGTTTATGACTAATTTAGCGCTATCCGATTTAGTGTTTGTTTTTACGTTGCCGTTCAAAGTCTTCTACAACGTGAACCGCCACTGGCCATTTGGAGACGGACTGTGTAAGGTTTCAGGAACGGCCTTCATCACTAACATCTACGGCAGCATGCTCTTCCTCACCTGCATCAGCGTCGACCGCTTCCTGGCGATAGTCTACCCTTTTCGCTCCCGCTCCATCCGCACGCGCAGGAACGCCGCAATGGTGTGTGCAGCTGTGTGGCTGACCATTGTGGGAGGAGGGATATCAGTCACCTTCTTCTCTACCATCAACAGTACAAATAGAGCCACAGCCTGTTTCGAAGGCTTCTCCAAGAGCACCTGGAGGACGTACCTTTCCAAAATCACCATCTTTATTGAGGTAGGGCTCTCATACCACTAAAGTAACTGTTTGCATTTTTAGCGTATTTATTAGAGTCAGTGCTTTAAAAAAGGACAAGCCTAGACTAAGTAGCGCCTGATTGTAAAGTTGCATGGTAATGATAAATAGTTTTCGAACATTTAGGTCAACAAAAAGCTGAAAATGTGGTGTGCATTTGTATTCCTCCGCAATGACAGCTGCAAGGCTTTTGCGGGATTTCTCTCCTCGCTTTGCACATCTAGACGCTGACATTTTTGCCTATTCTTTGCAAAAAAAAAAAAAAAAAAACCCAAACTCAGCCGGTGGATGGAGAGCATCTGTGAACAGCAGTTTTTAAGTTCTGCCACAAATGCGTTATGGGGTTTAGGTGTGGACGTTGTCTGGGTCATTCTAAAACATTGATATGACACAGACGAGCTACATAAATCTCAACAAAATACACACAAATGTGCGATTGTACGGTTGTGAAATGTAAAAAAGTCAAATTAGTTATGACAAGATGTGGTAGAAAAGTTCTCAGAGTGGTGTCACACAATACATTTGAAACCCAAACTACAACTTTTCCGCTTGAATGTGGGCCAAACAATCAACCAGCATGAGAGCTCCTGGGGCGTTTGCTTTATTCGGTGAGCGAGAAGTGGCGAGATAACTCGTGGCTACATCACAACGACAACGTGCCTGCTCACAATTCCCGAGTCTCTGACAGTTCCTGGCCAACATCGCCGCGCAAGAGCAATCGCCTCCTATTTCCCAGTCAAGTGTGGAAGATGTGGACAGCATCAAGACGGTCGTGACGTCAGGCTGTGAAGGATCCCAGAGGAAACTTTACAGGAGTGCATCAAGGTGTGCCAGAGCTGGCTTGGAAAGTCCGTCGAAGGGGAGAAACTTGCGGTTTGGATCTGAAATATATCTTGTGACACCAGTCCCGAAACGTCTGACACACCTTGTAAACAGATTATCTAGACATACAGACAGCTAGATTCATAAAAATGTAAAAACAATGAAACTTAGCAGTCTTCCAAAAGCGCCAAAAGTTATTAACATGTCAAAACAATAAAACCTCCACCTTGACCTTGAAATCAATTGATGTACTGTATATGGAAACACTTGGGTCTTAATGCTTTGACTGTGAGTCCACTTATTTCACATAGCGTCTGCTGTATATCAGTCACAGTTTTATTTTAACAACCCTCTCTTGAGGTTTTTTTTAAAACATTTATTTATGGGGTCATTAAAAAAAAAAAAGCCACAATAATCCAAAGTAGAAAGTTATTCTTCTCCTAACTGAGTTCTGGTGGTATTCTGACACCATGCAAGATGGTGGTTCAAACTCAAAACACATTTTGAGATTTCAGAAACACTTCATCGCAAATATTTTTTAGCAAATTTCATGCCTTCGTGGATGCTGACATTTTTTTTTACTTGAGCGGTTCCACTGAAATATGACTTTTTTTTTTTGTTTGTTTCAAAGGCATAGCAGGTCTATATCATGCACTGTCGTAAATATTTCATGTCGGTCCAAAAATGTGAAAAGCGATGAGAAAATACACTTGTATGCCCTCAGCCTACAAACCACACAGATTTACTGCTGATTTTTGCACGGTTAAGTTCTAAATCAACCCCTAATTTACGGCCCGACCGAGAGCAAAACAAAAGAACAGTACCATAATACGTGTCGCCTATCCCACCAACCGCATCCAATGATTGAAAGTCACTTGAAACAGAACGTTGAATTATGCTTGTGCGTTTTTGTCTGCGTGTCTGTCTGTGGTTTGGAACAAGACTGGTAAAAATTATATATGAAATACAAAATGATTTGTTTGCAGTCAAAAATTTTATTTCTATGTATGTACGCGTGCCCTTTATGACCCCTTAAAAAAAAACCACGAAAGAAACTTAAAAGAAAGCGCTTCCATGTTTCTTGTCTTTCTAGATTGTGGGATTTCTACTTCCCCTGCTGGCCAACTTGGTATGTTCTTCGCTGGTTCTCAGGACACTGCGTCGCCCAGTGACGGTTGGCCACGGCTGTGACAGCAAGAGACGCGTCTTGAGGATGATTCTCGTCCATCTCGGCATCTTCATTATATGCTTCGTCCCTTATAACTCGATTCTCTTTCTGTATGCCCTGGTGAGGACCCAGGCCTTAGCTAACTGCTCCGTGGAACGTTTTGCACGAACCCTGTACCCTATCACTCTGTGCCTGGCAAGTCTCAACTGCTGCCTCGACCCTGTGGTGTACTACTTCACTTCTGAGAGCTTCCAAAAAAGTTTGACCTTGGGGAACAAAGGATCCGGCTCTCGGCCTGAGAGCATTCCCCGTAGCGACACCGAGACACAGGACACAGCAAACACTCTACCAAGAGACACGCACACTTTGGCGAGGAACGGAAAAGACACGAAAGTCGCCGAGAGTCAGTTTTGACCAAATGAAGAAATGATAGACAAGGACAAGTGGGTATAAGAGACCCTGGATTTGAAATGTAAAGCATCAGCTGGTTGGTCCTTGAAGTGGCAAATGCATAACTCAGCAGATTAGTCCTGTTGTAAATCCTAAACTATGGTCTGGGCTTTACCAATTAATCCGCCACTTGGGAGCCCAAGAATATATGTGTTTATTACACAGAGAAGCAGCCACGCCAGGACAACAGTGATCGTCCTTGGGACAGAAAAGACTCTTGAACCTCAAATGACTCAGACATTAATACGCACTCTCATGCACTGGATTTTCAGATTTGATATTAATGACTTTTATAACGCACTAAGCCCATACATATCTTTTATTGTCTTCAGTTCAGGCTTTTGCAGTAAAGTATGTCAGTGTTATGACACAATTTTGGCTCATTCTTATTATTTAGCCAATTTGGAGAGAGAAAAAAAATGTGTCATGTGTCAAGTTCGGGGCCATTAAATGAAAAGGAAAAATGTTTTGATTTGCTGTCATTGCTGCGTTTATTATTTCAGTCCCCTGCCTCTTAGTTTGTTAGTTTGGTCAAACCTGCTGCAGACTGGCCTCGAACAGCATGCTTGGATGTTTGAACTCACATAGCAGTTTGTCTTAAGCTGTTTTCAGCAGGCAGCCAGTGTGTTCTTGTCATAGGTGCAAGAGGCAGTTGGGATCCATTGGAGGACTCTGGCCTGTGTGCTGTGTCACAGGCCAAATGCTTATGATGATGGCTCAAGCAATGGTCCATTGTTCACTTCTGAATGAGGTCTCTCAGTCTCTAATCTGGCCTGAGACTGTAGATCTGCTCAAAGTCCCACAGCAATGTGTACACACTCCAAAGTACGGCTAAACACTGTTGACTAAATAATCACCCTAAAGCACAAATAACAGCGTGCAAAAACAATGAACGCATGAATCAGCAGATCTCGGCGATCCAGTTTGCTATTGCTGAGACAGCATAGGCCACGATAGCTTTGGGTTATGATGATGATGATGATGATATTGCCTTTATGATGATTTTGACACATCTGCGCCCTAAGTGAACTTAATAAGTGGCAAGTTCCCTCATAGGTTGCCAGCAGACAGGAATATTAACCTCCTTGAGAGGGAGAAGTGGTTGTTTTGATGGTAGAAACAAATTCTTTATTCAGTGGCAAACTGTTGGCATAGTGACAGTTGGCAAGCCAACGAGCTTTTTATCAGAATACAAGAGTCGTCAACATGTCACGGGCCTAAATCCAGCCAACATCATATAGTACATCAGAGATTTCTAACCATTGTGCCACATATTAGTGACCCCTGTTCAGTTTATCAAGCATGTCACAGGAAATTATCTAATTGGTTTGAAAATGATTTATTTACTCTAAATAATGTTATCTATGTCAGCGACATAGTGATAGGAAAATCAATAATGCTTTTCCACAAGATGGCAGAGGGTACAATTAATCTGTGTACCTGTTGTCGTTTATAGAAAAGAAGAATACCTTTGTGTTCCACTAAACAAACCGAGATATATTTGTTTGGTTTTATGTCAATGAGATTTTTTTTAAAACTGCAAATTATGTGGCTTGGCTCAACTACAGGCTAGGACAGGGGTTGGGAACCTATGGCTCGCGAGCCATATATGGCTCTTTTGATGATTGCATCTGGCTCGCAGATAAAAAAAATATTCTCGCTTGTTTATTTATGCATCCATCGATCGATTTTTCACTGCTCATTTCCTCGTTCGGGCTGCAGTTGGCTCCAGGAGCCATTTTGATTGGATGATACTGGCCAACGTTGCCGTTGCTGTGGAAACAGGTATACGCCTCCTTTTGAATCAACCCGCTCGGCCATTAGCTCAAAGGAAGCTAATCCTAAGCGAATAAGATAGCGACAAGAAAAAAAGACGAGTTTGGTAGACTTCGGGACAAATGTACCGAAGGATTCGCCTTTGTGGAGAGAACGGGTTCTGCGGTGTATCTGATTTGCAATGAGAAAATACCATCGATGAAACGGTCGAATGCAGAGCGGCACTTTGACACGCCCCATGCTACGTTCGCATCAAAATACACTGCTAGAGACGGCAGAAAGGAAGCGAGAAAGCTACTGAGCAAGGTGCAAGCGAGCTAGCAGCAACTCCGCATATGGACCCGGCAAGATGACATATATATATATATATATCACTGAAATACATTTCCAAATATTTTGCTTTTATGGCTCACTTAGTCAAAAAAGGTTCCCGACCCCTGGGCTAGGATGTGCACACAAGCTGCGGGGTGTTACTTTGAACTCTCGTGTTAACAGGTTGATAATGATGACATTGCAAAGAGCTACTGTATTTTGGACAGCTGCCTTTTGTCTTGTTTCCTTTCCTTTCTTTTTTTAGTTATAAAAGCCACAAGGGACAACTGGCTTGTTGGTATCCATAGCAACTTTCAATGTCACTATCCCGTCATGTTAGGTAATTTCCACCCAGACCACATGAGCTCAAATTGACTACCGCTACAGTTTTGATTTACAGGGCAGGCGCAATCATCGTTCGTCAGGGAGCCATGGGCTGTTTCGTTGTCAAAGGCGCGTGGTGCATTTATATGATCATTCATCCATCCATTTTCTGATCGGTTTATCCTCACAAGGGTCGCGGGGCATGCTGGAGCCTATCCCACCTGTCTTTGCGCAGTAGGCCGGGGACATTCTGAACTTCTTGCCAGCCAATCGCAGGGCACACAGAGACAAACAACCATTCGCGCTGAGACTCACACCTCGGGACAATTTAGAGTGTTCCATTAACCTGACATGCATATTTTTGGAATGTGGGAGGAAGCCAGAGTACCTGGAAAAAATACAACGACAACACAGGGGGAACATGCAAACTCCACACAGGAAGTCACTTATATGATCATAAAATGTATATTTAACTTTAAGGAGGAGCTATAGCACCATCTATCCCCCAATGAACAACTGCAGTGGGAAATTCTGGTTTCAGAGAATAGTAGCTG